TTTCTGGAAGAATAATGTTTCAAAATTGAACGAGAGGGCGTTAGTTGAATACTCAGTACCTAAGGTTCTGTCATTTTCAGATGCTAGCGGTGTAGGCTGTGGAGCATATATTTCAGGAGAGAATTTAGTATGCCACCGTATGTGGAACGAGAGCGAAGCAAGGCGAAGCTMCACTTGGAGAGAATTAGATTCASTTTGCTTTGGTATCGGAAAAAGCAGTAAAATAGCAGTCTGATAATCAAGCGGCAGTCCGCATTTTAGATGTGGGCAGTCCGAAATCGGACCTCCACATTATAGCAACAGAAGTGTTTTCCTTTTGTAAAGAAAGTAGAATTAGTTTGTTTCCCGAATGGATCCCAAGGGAGCTAAATGAATAAGCGGATACCATAAGCAAGATCGATTGGTCGATTGGACGATTGGTACACATCTAGTGAGTTTTTCAGTTATTTAGACGAAATCTGGGGCCCCGATTCAGTTGACAGGTTCGCTAGTGAAAAGAATTCTCATTTGATGCGATTTAATTCGAAGTTTTGCGTTCCAAACACGGAAGCAGTGGACGCTTTTTCAGTTACTTGGGCAGGGGAGAATAATTGGCTAGTGCCCCCAGTATACTGTGTTTCGCAGACCATCCAACATCTTACAGCGTGTAAAGCGAGGGGTACACTAGTAGTGCCTTTTTGGCCTTCAAGTTCATTTTGGCCGTTTATATTTATAGATGCACATGAATGTTAGCCATACGTAAGGGACCATGTGGTTTTTCTGAATTCGTCGGGTWTWTTTTTGCAAGGAGATTTCAAAGACACAGTGATAGGTCGGGAGACAAAAATGTCTAAGTTTTCGAAAAAACGGTGGGGTATAAGCGATAAAATTGAGAGAAATGGGTTGATTGAAGCCGATTGGCAATATTTTAGCCATTTTTAAAAATGGAAACTGAATACTGCTGATTATACAACGGCCGAATGGCAGGTTGCGAAGCCAGGTAGCAAGGATCAGGAAAGTTCTTTTTGGTGCAACAGCTATAAAGCTAGCTAGTATCGCAATGCCGAGTGGCTTAGYGTTTGCGTACCAGACCGAATGGCAGATGAGCAAAGCCGAGTGGCAATTGTCATAAGGAGATCAACGACAAAATACTGCTCGACAGTTTTATGCATCAGATTCTTTTCTTGAATGTGTATATTTGGTTGGTTTCTTTTTGTACATAACAATGGTAAATGAATGTGTTATTTACTCTGAAAGCTTGTAGGCATAAAGCCGAAGTTTTAACTAAGGTATAGACTCCACGCTAAGTTGGCGACGGAGAGTTTCCTAGGATAGTATGTTATGCGATATTTTGCTTTCTTCGTCATTTCAGATCTAGTAAGAGAATGTACGAAGGGTCTCTTTAACGGTTGTACAGGATGCTGAACTGAAGCAGCTCGCAAGTGGTTTGCCGGATATCTTGGCGAAGAGCAAAGCGAAAAACACTCGGAAGAAGTATGAGAGAGGCTTTGAAAGGTGGAAAGTATGGGCGGACAAGTTCCCAGAAGAAGGAGTGCTCCCACCAATTGAGGGGTTTCTCGGATCCATGCAATTGCCCATTAGTGAAGAATATTGTAGAAGCAGGAAAATGCATTCTGAGTACTAGAGTTCAAAAGAAAGAACCGGTCACACCGGATATAATTCAAGCGCTTTTCAATAAGTCCGGTTTGCCTGAGGCCAGCCTGTCAGATCTCCGTGTCCTTTGTTTGTGTGTCTTAGGTTACAATTCAATTCAATTTTAGGTTATTCACACTTTTCTGTTCATTATTTACATTCATGATTATTTTATTTTATTGGATATTTCTAATGTAATTTATAATACATCATTATTTTGAATAAGTGTACGGCAACCAAAGGAGCTAAAATTCTTTCGAGTTGGTTGCCGTAATTGTCAATTATGAGTCCAAAAAAATAAAAGATAAACAAGTAAATAAGGAAAAGAGAATAAGAGGGAAAAGAAAGCTGAGAGAAAGGAATATCATACATCAAATAATGTTTATTTTGTTTTTTGTTTTTAATATCAAGAGAACTAATTATGCTGCATTAGAAATTTTTTTTCTTGCAAACATGTATAGTTAATACTTGAATGTGTACTGATTATTGGTTGTTTAAGGATGTATAAAAAAGCCTTTGAATGGGTTTACACTGGGTTTCTGCGTTATAACGAGCTAGCAGGTTTGCGTCRTAGCGACTTTGAGTTCGRGAACTCGCACATGAGAGTATTCGTGGAAAAGAGTAAGACGGACGTGTACAGGGACGGGAGAATCTACGTAGCACTCATACAAAACACATAATACAATAGAACGAGAGACAATGGAATACAATACATTTTATGAATACATTACATCAACTGCGTGCTACATAGGTCATAGGTGATCGCGCGGACGGTGTTGGGTACGTGCCCACTCGCGCGTGGGGAGGCGGAGCGGAAAAAAAAGAGAGCCTGCCAGAACGAGCCGCTAAATCGTGTACTCRCRGCCTCCARAGGCCGCGCTTCCTGATTGGTTTAAATCAGCGCTGTGATTGACGTTTTCAATTCGCTGTCAAAATAACGATATCCAGGCTATTTCGAGAACTCTGAAAACCAAAAGAACACGGAAAGATGGTTTACAAAGTCGAATTTATTGATCGCTACATTGAAAAGTCAGTGAGGGAAAACTGTGATCTTGATCGTCCAACAAGTCGTGTGTATCTCTGTTTTCATTTTTGTCATTTTGTAAAGAGTAGCATAAGTATCTACATGTTTTTAAAATAGCATCCGTGAATGTGTATTCTACGTACAGCCGAACCTTTCAGCCGAAGTTCAAAGAGTCTTTATACTATAGAAAGATGAAGGTCAAATATCATAACGTACATATACACGAAATTCATGTGTTGCTTTGTTGAATTTGCAAGACAGTCTACCGTAGTATGTTTGCTTTTCGAAAGGCGCTTTGAACTATAACTATAAATCTGGTAATAAGAAGGTGACAAACACATAACATGAAATTGACAAGTAACGAACCATTTCCGGTTCAATGACCTCTAGTAGGCGGTACACGATTTAGCGGCTCGTTCTGGCAGGCTCTCTTTTTTTTCCGCTCCGCCTCCCCACCCCCTCCCCTTCCGTTTTC